TTTGTAACCATTTTTTATGTGTACTGCGTGTTTGCAGAACTGAGAAATTACTGCCTAGTTATAGCTAGTCTTGTGTCAGGAGACCAAGAAACTGCTATAGTACTGTATACTGTAATGAAATTTGGCAAAATGTGCAGAGTATGCAAAATTAACTTTTTTATTTTTTTTACTGTACTGCATTGTGCATATTAAAGTTCATACAATTCTTTGGTATTTGAACTTTTCTAGTGCTTTTCATCTACTGCAAGATTACTTTACAGTATAGTAAAATGAAAACGATTTTTTCCCAAAAGTTAATTGCTGAATTATACATCTGTATCCATAATTTAATTTATGTATACTGTAATAGACACTGAGCTGCAAAAATTCCTGAATCCTAAGTTTTTTTTGTTACAGTGTTATTGATCTCAGTGTTCACTGGGCAGGAAAGTCATCTGTGTATTTGAATGGTGTGTAAGCATTTACAGTTTTTTTCAACTGCTTACACACATCATCTTTACTTGTCACACAATTTCTGAAACCTGACACTCAAACACCAGAAGCGCACACCAAATCTGCAAAACCATACACTAATTCTCAGCCTTTGACTCCGTTTTCAATTTCATAAAACACTTTTTGCAAAACACAACACACAATTCTCTATGTAACACACAAAAATCTAACAGGAATTAATATTATGGCAAAGGTGTTTGCAAATGTTTGCTTTTGAGATGTGCTTGTGATATTTTGAATGCAGTGCTTCATTTTGCAAGAGACGTGATGCATTTTGCACTTTGTGTGAAATTCCTGGATTTGTGTGTAAAGTTTTGAAAAAAAGAGGCAAAGTTTTGAAAATGTAAGCAGTTGAAAAACTTAGAAAAACTGTAATAGCTAGATTGAAAAGTTTGAAAGACAAATGTATGCTGGCTTGTTTAAAAAACGTAAATGGTTTGGTCAGTTAGATGTTCTAGATGTTTTCTAAAGTGTTGCTAGTTGGTTGCTAGGATATTCTGGGTGGTTGCTAGGCTCTTGCTATGCAGTTGCTGGGGTGTTGCTAGAGTATATGGTTGATAGAGTTTGTGGGTGATTACAGACATTCCCACCTCTGTTAATAACAGAAAATCGAACATTGTTTTCAAAACTGATCCAGTTTCAGTGCTTTGATATTATTGTATTTATTTCTAATGTTAGGAAATTCTAAAGTTTTTGTTGCTCTTAAACTTGCACTAAACGTGATTATACCATCTAAGTAGCCTATGTAATTTTAATAGAACCGCATGTCTTCTAGTGATACAAGCTCAGAAACATTTAGAACCTGTTGAAGTTTTCTTTATATTGTGCATTGACTTGGTGCCATGATGGATATTGAAATGTTGTTATTAATTTGTCATTTTAAACACTATAGATGATTACTTAATGGTAATACAATAATTGTGAACACAACTGTGTATGTCAGACAATAAATCCCCAAAAGCTATGCATGGGGGCTTGCTTTGGTGTTGCCACCCCTCATAGACCCCATGTCACCCCTTTGCCACCCTAAAAATTATGTTCTAGATCTGCTCCTGCCAAACGTACATTAGCGAGAGCAACTGAAACATGAGACATTTACTGATGATGTGGAGAATGTCATCTTGCCATCACAGTGAGTCATTGCATAAAACCAGGAATAAAAAAATCTTTAAAATGGTCAAATGCAACAGGATTGAAATAAATCTGGCATTAAGCTCTGCAGGAAACCACTGGTATGACTTAAGCACTGATGCATTTCTCATACAGTTAACCTCAGCATGGGAGGGGGCCACAAGGACTGCTGAAAAACCCACATAGCCATGTGCAGATTGTTCAGGATTGAACATGATAATGTGTATATGCTGTGTGATGGATTTACAAACAGACTGGCAGAGATAAATGCAACACATGTGCATGACAAATCAGAAAGATACGCTTTGTAAAGTGTTTATAAGATGTGTGGATTGACATTGACAAAAAAATTTATAATTCATGCATTATTGACTCAGCTGTTGATGGAGATTATACACTTTTCCATTTTAAGCTATTTACAATAACTTCATTTTAGGAATATGACAGACTTGAACTAGTTTTGGAAAGTTTTATGAGGAAGTTGCTAGAAAAATTTTAGAAATTGTAATCTTTCTAAAGTGGGTCACATAGAATTCACAGTGAAATGCTTCTCAAAGTTTATTATCTCTAGTTGCCATAGAACTTGATTTATAAAACGTCTGCTGATGAAGCTGCCTGTCCTCCCCAAACAGTCTTGATTTGGGGTAATTTCCAGTGTGATAAAAAAGTCAACTGTTCACAGGAGAGAGAGGAAATTACAGCCTCGGTGGAACAGAGGAAATTAGAAGCTTACCTCTTTTTAATATGCACAGGTTGCACTTTCAACAAGCTGATTCATTTTATATTATTTTTCAAATTCTAAACTTATGTGTCAAGTTGTGTATGCGTGCGGGATAAAGGAAAGGGACAATCTTGTTATTGTAACTCTGAAATATAAGCTGCCAATGCAGTATGTCCTGAATTAAACACTATGCTTTCCTTTGAGCATGCAAAGGTCACATCTGTTCATTTATTTCTTGTTCTCTCAGCAGAATTCGGTGTGAATGATCAGTCATAAAATGATATTCTTCTCAGCATGACTCACAGCAGGGGTAAAATCTACGGTGGCCGAGAGAGCTCAACGCGCTGCAACTTAAGAAAACACATGCAAATTGAAAAAACACCAGCAAATTAAGAAAACATCTTCATCAGTTTGACAACACATCCGCTGCAAAGCCTCACAACACATGCAAATGAAGAAATGCGCTGCAAATAGCACGGACCACAACGGAAATGTTTCATGGGGACCCAAAAAAGTGACGGACCCGGCTGGGATTTGTTTTGTGCAGTGGCTTTTTTTTTTAGTTTCTGCTAGTGATTCCTTTTTTTTAATTTATTTTTATTATTGAAGATATAACATTCACAGGGGATAGAGTCATAGCAATAAATTACATACACAACCAGAATACAAAACAATAAATACATAAAGAATAATAAAAATGAAATATAAACAGAACAAAAACAAATAAATAAAAAGTTAAACATATTTTCCACTTTTAAATGTAAATCTTTTGTAATGCATTACAAAAAGTAAAAAAGAAAGCACAATCAAAATCTAAGTTTTATAGAAAGACTAATTTATTTATATCTGCACATTTCCAAGTGAAATACAAAGTAAAAAAACAAAAAAAAAAACAACCCAAAACAACAGTTTAAAAAATACATTCCAATTGCTTTTTTGAAACCAAACCTTTTGTGTAAGGCAATGGTTGCAAAAATGCATATTTATTTAAAGAAATTACTTTCTTGGTTTCAGATGATGTTCATTGTATCAAACAACAAAATAACGTTTGTTTGGAGATTTTAGAGTCTCCAGCGGTATGACCAGAAAGAGCAATTAAAATTCTTCCTCAAGCAGTTAAAAAAAACATATTAAGAGGACTGCAGTAATTTAGCAAAATGTACTAAAATGAAACTAAATTGTCATGAACTTGTCTTATAACTACAAAGATTTACTGATATGTTTTGAGCAAGATATTTCCACAAACCACATGATTAAAACAGCATAACATAAAAAAAAATTGCCCTGGACATTTACAATGGGTTTTATTCAAACCCACATAAACATGAAAAAAAAACATTAAAAAAAAAACACTGAATGTAGCACCAGCACGAAACAAAAAAATCTTGTTCTGCTTTTTTCTTATGTGGAAAATACTACTTCAAGGTTTTCTTTGGATCAATCCTCTGGCAAGCTCCAGTGCAGGCATCTTGGCTGGGGCTGTGCTTCTTGTTTTAGGTGCTATATCCTCTGAGTGTTGTCAGCGGTTAGCTTACAGTCTTCATTAATTCCTATGTGTTAACTGCAGCGATGATCCCTCGTTTAACAGGTGCTGTTAAAAACAAACAATGTTAAAGTAATGCCTTCTTTATCAATCAATCCTTACACTAAAATTACCTTGACATGTAAACACACCTGCTTTTCCACAAGCCTTCTCACACTCATCTTGTGTATCAAAGCGATTTTGGTTCCCTCCGCATCCTCCGTACCAGAAGCGGGTACAGTTTCCACTAAGCGGGTCATAATGCCATTTAAGCACAAATTTAGCACAGGATCCCTCTTCTTTTGGTAGCTTGCAGATATCCACACTGGAGTGCAGGGCAGCTGTTAGAGGATGAGAAAAATGACAGAATTTTAACTGAGTATCTAATTATTTGCAAAAACTTTTTTTTTAGATAACTGCATACAGGGTTTATCATCTCTGGACAGTGGCACTTCATATGTTATGTCATCTGCAACGTGATTTCTTGCAACCACATATTTTACCCTAAAACTTTCTACAGCTATATAAACCTTTCAGTTCACTTAACACAACATTTACATTAGGATTTAGACGCAATTATTTCCAGGAATCATTCAAAAGTATTGTTCACTAAGGAAAGTGAGTTACATGACTTGCCAAGGTCTTTCACAAGAAAACAGTTCTTGATCTTCACATGGGTCATATTTTACGCATTATTATCCGTGACAGGATGTTTCTTGTGTAAACCAATTAATGCACATGCATCAGGCATTATTCGAACTGAATAACAACAGTACTGTCTTCAGTATACTGTAGCTGCTTACTGCTAAATTGAACTTGTTTCATAATAAATTAACTTCACACAGTTAAACTGAACCAACACTGAATGTACTTGGAGCTGAATAATGACACTATTGTCTTGATACAGCTGCTATATAGCAGAATTTGGATTTGCCTCTTTTGTAAAGTTTGCATTATTGATTCAGTTCCTTTCCTGTTTAATATTGTGAAACAGCTTTGAAATCTCTATTTTTATAAACCAATATAAAAAAGGTGACTTGACATTACTACAAATAATCTATTCTGAATTTAAAATGTATTGCTCTCAGTAAAGCATTTTTTTTTTAAAGTGGTCCTGTAACAGAATTGAAACACGTCATGAGAAGGTTTCTAGAGGTTAATGTACCGGTGGACTGACCTGGAGCTGGTGCTGGGGGGAGAACAGCTTTGACATGCTCTTCACTTGCTTTAGGTTCAGCCACTGTGGTAGTCAGGGAAAAAAAGTTTGTTTTTTTTCAAGAATTTTCCTATCTTTCATTTTATTGTACAACCTTTTAAGGGTTCTTGGAAGAAGCCACAAGTAGCCAAGTAATAGGCTAGTAATACAACAAAGGTTATATTTGTGTGCTGGAGAGTTAGTACGTGGATCATGCATTATACATCACTGTACCATTGAGCAAGGCACTGCATTTAGTGTGCTGTAAATTCTTTAGTTTAAATTAACCATCTAATTGATAATTGATCAAATTTTGTAGCTATAGATTGTTTCAGTTTCATCTTATTTTGGGATTTAAGACCTTGAGTACTGCAACCTGTATACTCCGCTTTAAATATTCATAATTCATAATTTTATAGCTCAATCATGAAGTTTTCGAAATAGAAATAACAGGACAAATCAATCGCTGCGGTGATCGGGTCAAGGCGTCAAAGGGCGCACATACCTGGCTTCATGCAGTGTTTGAGGCAATCAGCCTCAGTCTCAAACCTATTGTCATTTCCTCCACAACCTCCATACCAGAACTGTGTACAGAATCCATTCTTTCTGTCAAAGTACCACTTAGCTTGGTAATCTTTGCATGGCAGTCCAGTGTCAAAGTCAAGTGAACATGGGTCCATAGGATTGTTAACTGAAACATGCAAACAAACGGAGACAAACAAAGAGGGTTTATCATGAAAGAGGAAAGACAAAGTTAGTGTTGTCAGTAAAATGAACCTACAGTGAGTAAATATTAGGTGACTGTAGCTCGTTCAGAGGAATTAGCAAATTATTTTAACGGGTTAGCGGTCCCACTTTATATAAAGTGGCCTTAACTATGTACTTACATCAAACAATAAGTACAATGTACTTATTGTGTTCATATTGTATTGCAAAACACTTTTGCTGCTATTGAGGTGGGAAACGGGTAAGAATAGGGACAGGTTTGGTGGTATGGGTAGGTTTAAGGGTGGGTTAAGGTGTAAGGGATGGGTCAACAGTGTAATTATAAATGTAATTACAGAAATTAATTACAGATGTAATTACATGCAGATATTTTTCAAATATAAGTACAATGTAAAAAGATGTATGTACACAATAAGTGCATTGTACCAAATGCTTAATTTAAATGTAAGTACATAGTAGTTAAGGCCACTTAATATAAAGTGGAACCGCTGTATTAAAATCAAGATTATGCAAATCGTGTTATTTTCAAATCAAGCTTTATGTACTGCTAAAGCTTTGTTATATGTTATACCTGCAAAGGCCATCAAAACACAAAGTTTGCTATTTACAAAGACATTGTTGTGTTTTTAAATATCTTTGGATAAAATAGGAATCATGTTTCTATGCATTCATTAGTATTATCAGCACTGTCAGTCCAAATAAATGGTCACTGGACTTTGTTTGCAAAAGCACTTTGAAATAGAGGTCTGCATTCCCGCGGCACCCGACTGGATTTTTTGCACCACAGGATTAAATTCCCGAATAAAATGCGGTAGCGGTCGGTAACTCTGGTGTAATTTGAACGGGAGTGGGCGGTCTAACAATATCCCGTTCCCGACGTCCATTTAGAACAGCATATCTCCGCTTTATTCTTATTGACCACCGGTACAGCTTGCGCTCAGGATGCACGCGCTGCACGCATGCTTTAAACGTCACACGTTTTATTTGCGTGGTCTGTGCACAGCATGTGCATAAGATGCTCAGAGCAGGCTGTACCTGTGGTAAATATACGGCCCTCAGACAGAACAGGCAGGTTGTCGATGAGTGACAGAGCCGAATAAGGATGGAGCAAAGTGTGGATGCGCTGTGCTTGAAGGACGTTCAATTCGGTTTTGTTTATATTTTGCTTAGCCTATAATTTTAAATGAAAGATGTGGTATTTATTTATTTTTCTCTGCGACACTTTTCCTACTGTGTTAACAGAAAAATGTCAAACGAATTTAGTATTTTGACAAGACAAATAAAAATAGGGCTATTTTTGTACAACCTACATTTTTATTTTTTTTTCTCTCTGCTACACTTTTTCCCTATTGTGTTGTCAATGTTAAACGAATTGTATCCGGAAAGACGAATAAAAATAAGAAATACCATTTTTGTGCAACATTTTTATTTTCTCGGACACTTTTGTTTCCTACTGTGTTGCATAAAATATTAAACGAATTTTGTGTCTTAAGATAATTCATATAAATTCAAGTAAAAGTCATTAAATTCAAGACTCTTGACAAGACGCATAAAATAACATACACTTTTGTGCAGACTACACATTTATTTGTCAGCCTATCTCTCTTTCTTTCAGTAGAGGAAATTTAAATGTGAGATTCTGGACCCCGAGATCTAAATTTAGCGGGATCGGTCGGGTAGGGAAGAAAATAATTCTAAGTGGACAGCGGGTGAACACAGAATGAATATATAGCGGGAGCGGGTGGGTGCGGAATAGAACCTTGCGGGAGCGAGACTAAAAAAACAGTCCCGAGCAGACCTCTACTTTGAAACACATTTATATTTTATATGCCTTTTCCAGTTCATTTGATTTATGTGCTATACATTAGCCATCTGCAGGTAATTACTGTGATGTCAGTCTCATTAACTGTGTCTGTGCTGGGGCCATTTCACAAATCTCTGCTTCATAACCCCTACAGAGTAAACCTGCCTTTTATGTGAAACAACCATTTTCCCCTTTCAAAGTAAGTATTGCACTTTGTTAGTGGGTTATCAAGTCGAACGATGTCTAGTTCAATACAACTTAGGTTAGTTTATTAGTTTTTGTAAATGCATTTATGTTAAAAGTCAAACTACCCTGAATTAAATGGGGTTCCCTATTACCAGCTAATAAAAACAATGATCTCATTGTTTTGTAATGAGGAAGGCCTCCGTCCTAACAGAATTAAGAAATCCTCATTTATAGTACAGATTCTTCAAAATACCCTTTAAAATGCAGTTTTATAAGCTGCTCTGACTTTACAAATGTATTTATTTTGTCTTTAAAACAATCAGTACAAAGAATATTGTATATGCAGACATTTGATTTTTGACTATTCTAAAATACAGGAAACCTCTAAGAACATGTTTTTTTTTAATCCCAAAGCACTCACAATGCTGCTTTCATATATGGTTTAAACAAGTAAAAAATAATAAAATAGAATACTTGTCTGCTCACAAACAAGTAAATGAAAAACTGGACTGATCCATGTGCTGTTTGTTTGTGGATTGGAATTACAAAAAAAAAAATCAGCTCATTCTAAAGATCCTTTTGCTGTTAATCCTTAGCATTACTTACTTATTTCTGGTTTACTTAAGGGTGCAGAGGACACAATCCCCATTGCTTCACTCGGAGCCTTCTGTTCTGCTGTTTCTGTTCAAAAAGGCCAGATCTCAGTTGATTGGATCTCACAAACCACATGGCTTTCAGCCAACATGAATGATTTAATACTTGGGAGAATGCACTAAGAATGAATTAGATGTGTTCATAGTGTTGTTTGGTTTCGATTCCAAATACAAAAGCTGTGCTCTGCATGTTTCTCTATATTGGAGTAAAATCCTCTTGCTTGTATAGATTATAGAGCAAATACTGTCACTTACTAATGGCTGCTTTACTTGAGGGTGCAGAGGGTGCAATTCCTATCACTTCACTTGGAAGAAGAACCTTCTGTTCTGCTGATTCTGTTCAAAAGAAATCTGAGGTTAACTAGATTATGCAGAAATCATAGTTTCCAGTCATCACGAATGCTTTCTTACTTACCAAACTCTCAACTATGTACCATATGAGAGCAAGGTCTATTAAAACAATATTTCCTCTGCTTTGCATGTTATCCCATATTCAGAAAAAAATCTGGTGATATATATTCTGTCACTTACTAATTTCTGGTTGACTTAAGGGTGCAGAGGGTGCAATCCCCATCACCTCTCTTGGAGTAAGAACCTTCTGTTCTGCTGATTCTGTTCAAAAGAAATCTGAGGTTAACTAGATCCTGCAGAAATCATGGGTTTTGGTCATAATATTCTTATTATGAAGAGTTCAATATTCAAACTCTCAGCTATGTACTGGTGTACAAGGTCTATCCAAAAAATTTATTAAAATATTTGTATATTTTAGTTTCTATTAATTTATATATATATATATATATATATATATATATATATATATATATATATATATATATA